ATGCACCCAATACAGGAACACCCAGAAATATAAGACTTATAAAGAGACTTAGACCCCCACACAATAATAGTGGGAGATTTCAACATCAATATTAGACAGATCAATGAGACAGAAAATTAACAACGATATCCAGGACTTGAACTCAGATCCAGAACAAGTAAACTTAATAAACATTTATATAACTCTCCACTTTAAATACACAAAATACACACTCTTATCAGTACCACATCACACCTGCTTACAGGTTTGCATGAAATATTGGTTGGCTGCTTGTTTGTTATTTTCTTCCCTCATTTTTTTTCATGTCTCCATTACTAAGCACAATTATAGGCATAAAAGAGGTTTTCAATACCCATTTTTAGACTGCATTCTAGCCTGGGCCATAAAGCAACACTCCCGTTCTCTCTCCCTCTTCCTCTTCCTCTTCCTCTTTCTTCCTCTCCTTCATTCTTTTTTTTAAAATTATTATTCTTTTTCTTTCTTTCTTTCTTTCTTTAAAAAAAATCTTCAGTGGGATAAATAAACAGTGTTACTTAAATAGAAAAAATATTGGCACAAAAGTCACAAAAAAAAAAAAAAGGAACCAAACTCATTCTAATACGCTAGTAAGCTGATATATCCCTGTCCCCTTTTTGAATACCTTGTGTAGCCTTCTGAACATTTTGCTATTTCCTACAATTTAAAAATCTTCCATATGATAGGAAACTCAATACATTTTTTTTTTTACAACTGGAATACATTCAGAGAGATGGAAATGATATATTTTTTAAAAAGGCTACCGATTCTATCGTACATATTCTTTGAATATCTCAAACTCTCTTGGCTGTCTTTAAGTCCCACTTCTGTACTCCACACTCTATGCTAGCCCCTCCCTTTACCTTACCTTCCTGAAACATATCCCTATTTTGCAAAGCAACAAAGCTTCCCTTATTTTTTCTCTAATTTTTAAAAAAATTCAGATTAATTTTAATCACTAAAATAAATTAAAATAAATTAAAATTTTAAGATAAATAAAAATGTAAAGAATCATCTAAATTTCAGGAAACGATCATCTCCTTAAGTCCAATTCTCTTCTCATACTCAATACAAAATATACAATGTATTCAAGAGGAATGTAGGAAGGAACTGATAATCTTCCCTCTTTTCATTCTTCCTTATTTTAATAATAGAATCTATGTCCTAGGTTTTAGAGGGCATGGCTGCTCAGCACGAGGTTCCTCTGCAGTAAATTTCTTACCAAAGGAATGTACATAAACTTGATGGGTCCAACTTCCGTCTCATTTTGTTCAAATGTAAATGCTTGTCCTTTACTTTTCTCTTCTCCATCCCACTGGTTGACCGCTATAAAGAGGACACTCTAGGGAATGGCAGAATAAAAAGTAGAATAAATACAATAATAACAAAATAATAACAGAGTAAAAATAATGGTAGAATAAATATAAGTCCATGGACAATTTCATGGGCTACCTCCTGATGGCTATAAGAAAGAAAATTAATTAACTTGTAAGAATTACGGTATTTGGACGTTTCTCTGCTACAGTGGCTTAGCCTATACATTAAAATTTGGTACCAGAATATTATGGATTAAGCTGTTTGCCCCAAAAATTTATAGGTTGAAGCCCAAAGCCCCAGTGTAATTATATTGGAAGATAGGGCCTTTCAGGAAGTAATTAAGGTTAAATGAAGTCATAGAGAGGGGCCTTAATTTCATAGGACTGGTGTCCTTAGAAGAGAACATTGGAACACACAGGGAGACATTAGGGGCACAAGTGCCTAAGCAATGCCATGTAAGGACACGCAAGAACGGAGCCATCTACAAGCCAAGGAGAGAGGCCTCAGGAGAAGCCAACTTGTCAACACTTTGACCTTGAACTTTTGGCTTTCAGAACTGTTAAAAACCAAATTTTGGTTGTTTAAGCCACCCAGTCTTTGCTTTTTATTATGCAGCTCTAGCTGACTGATACACAGAAATGGAAAAGTGCCATCATAACAAAAATCTAAAATATGTGGCTTTGATATTGTTGCCAGGCAACAGGCAGTGTGGAAGCAGATATTGCAGGATGGAAAACTAGAGACCCTCGTTATGTTTTGACCAATCATTAGGTAAAACTGACATCAGCAACAATTTGAAAGGCAGTGGTTAGAAAAAAGCAGAGTGGTCAATGTATACTGGATGCTCCTTGCTGATGTTTTTAGTGAGGAACTAAGAAAAGTAGTTGCAGTAAGATCAAAAAATGAGTTTCCAAGTAGATAACATGACACCAGGAAGTACAACTGCTTCTGCATTCCAGGGAGCAGGAGATGTGATTATTCGGTTTTTCTCAATAGTCACCATGGTGGCCTGGCGCTGTGGCTCACACCTATAATTCCAGCACTTTGGGAGGCCGAGGCAGGCAGATCGCCAAAGGTCAGGAGTTTAAGACCAGCCTGGCAACATAGTGAAACCTGTGTCTACAAAAAAGTACAAAAATTAGCCAGGTGTGGTGGCTGCGAGCCTGTAAACTCAATTACTCAGGAGGCTGAGGCAAGAGAATCGCTTGAACCTGGAAGGCGGAAGTTGCAGTGAGCCGAGACTGTGCCACTGCACTCCAGCCTGGGTGACAGAGCAAGACTCTGACTCAAGTCTCCATTGTGTTACTGGTCAGACAATGTGAGTCATTTCAGCAGAAAAAGACCCGATGAAGGATGTTGCATCACCACTTAAACTCATAGTTGCAAAGACTTCAAGGTGGCTGCCATTAATTTGAGGGACAGGGGTATGGGCCAAGCACAGTGACTAATAACACACTGCTGGCTTAAAGAACTATAACTAGGGCAGCTCTTTGGCTGTGGCTACTTTTACATGAATTGACTGAAAGCAAATGAACCAGAAATCTCTAGTGCTGATAAAGTGCTGTCACCAATGCTACGATGACTCTAAGATGTCAGATGAACTTCCACCTCCCAAAATTCATAGTAAGTTACCATGAATTCAGTTCAGATGCTGAGGCTGATAATGCCACACACACACAACAAACGGGTATAAAAGGTTTATTACTCACATACTGAGGCTTTCCAGGGAGATAGGGCAGGATCCCAAGAGGGCTTAACTGGCTTGGGTTTTATCATTCTCAGAGTATGCAGCTGGGGTGAGGCTTCCTGGATGCATGCCAGGGCTTGTGTGCTCTGAAATTCCTGCTGGGGCCAAAGGAGGAGGCATCCATGCTTCCATCACTTTGCCCAGATGTGGCGCATAAGGGGAAAGGGAATGATGAGGCTTGAAAGATGTCAGCAATCAAACATTAAAAATGGCATTGAAGTCTTTATCACAGTCAAATGAACTAAAACCCTGGCCTACAAAAGCCTATGTTGTTCAGTCTCTAGGGCAATCTAGGTCTAAAAATCCACACTAGCCAGCAGGGGCTGCAAAAGCTGTGATGCCCCTCAAAAGTTTCAGACAGGGTCAAAGAAGCTGATGAGCAAGAATTTCCTGAGGTCAAACTAGGGGCCACAGAAGACAATCGACAAAAGAGTTTCTCCCAGACAGCAGATTCATGGTTTCACCAAGAAACGCACTGTCTGCTGGGGCAAGGACTCTCCATCATGCCTGCACTGACTACTATCATTTTTGTCTTTACCTCTAGTATCCATTCCTCTCTTTTTAGTTTTAGTAATAGAACCCTATCCCTGGAGTTTTAGTAGGGCACACGTCCATCTAGTTACAGACACGTCCCAGTCTTTCTTGAAGCTAGGTATAGCTGTGTAGCAAGTATTCATGAATGGACTGTGAGCAGAAGTGATGGGTGGAACTTCCTTAAAAGGAAATAGCTTGCTCCCAACTTCCTCTTTTTTCACAGGCTGGGTAGATGAATCCTAGATCCCTTCAATACCTTTGCAAAACGAAGCTACTTCTGGATTGCTATGTGAGGAAAAAATAAACTTATATCTTACATGAACCCTCATATTTTGGGGTCTCTTTGTTACAGCAGTTTAAATCATTTTCTGATTTATACAAAAGGAGTATGAAAACATTAAAAAGGTAAGCTTATTTACCTTTTATGACCTTAAAATGTCCTCTCCTTGTTCCTTTGGATTTTACCTTTAACAAGTATAAATAAGGTGCCTCAAATTTGACTGTAAGCAAGTAAGACCTTAAGACTACATGTCACCTTATGAATTCAGTGTGCTTCTCCCCTTTTCCAAAAATCAACCTACAGAATACAGCTGCATATACTTTGGGGGCTTAAATGGAAGCATTTAATGTAAATGTTTGAGTATCAAACTGATAAATGAAAACTCAGTATATATCAACTTCTCCTTTTTTCAACACAAATGTATATCCATGCACTATTTTTATCTACTTTGTAATCAATTAATAATAGACAACTGGATGAAGCGGATAAAGCAAACTTCATCTCCCATAATGTGATGCAGAGATGATGGTTTCTTGGATCCCCAGGTTCCTGTTACTGTATGCTTCAGATAGTGTTGCTAAGACAACAGGGACGCTGCAAGTCCCTGTTGCAGGGATTGAAGTCAAGGCACTGGAGCTGCCTCGAAAGATGTCATCAATAGTGTGTTCAAGGCCCTTTTCACAGTGAAACTGTAACTTTTGAATTAGGAAAAAAATGACTGAAGCCAAGCATGGTGATGCACACCAGTAACCCCAGATACTTGGGAGGCTGAGGCAGGAGGACGGCTTGAACCCAGGAGTTTGAGGCTGCAGTGCACTAGGATCGCACCTGTGAATAGCTACTGTACTCCAGCCTAGGCAACACAGCAAGACCCCCATCTGTTAAAAAACGAAACATAAAAATAAACAGAAAAAGATTATACTCAATTCAACACCTTTCCACAGACTGTGATTTTCAGTTACTCACATTCTAAGGTTAAGAAAACATTGGTATATGGATTGTAAGTCAGGAAAACATCATTTTATATATATATATATATATATATATATATATATATATATATATATATATGAGAGCCCCATGGAAATAACTGAGGGGAACTTGTCCTTAAATTCCAATTTACCTTTATTCTAATAGAAGCATGTCTGAAGAATATCAGAAGAAAACAAAATGAAATTATGCTGTCAGCTGTTCCTCCACTAACGATGTACATCTCACCTAAACAAAGGCTTGATTCTATGTAGTAAATAAATAGGTTTGATGTTCACTGAGACCTGCGATTCATACTTGGCATTTGAGTTCATAAACAGATTCAAAGAAACATGGTCTTCTCACTAAACTTTTGATAAAGGCACAGAAAGCTCATCGGTAGCAATGATGTGAGCTGGGTTGCATCTCCAGTTTTGTCCAAGCAAACTGAACAATGACAGCAATCCTGTTTTAATACTCATAACATCAAGGCAAGGACAAAAAGAAAAAAAAATGCTTGAACTGATTTTGATGTTTTCTGACCCACAGAAAAAAAAAAACAAAACAGCATTTCACCAAGCTAAATTTCCTTTACATCGTGTATATTGTATCGCACACAAATGTTTAAAAATCCATCGAAAACAACAAGAACAGAAGAATAAAGAAGCCCAGTGCTTTTTGAGATAGAAGCCTTCAGAATCACCTCTCTCTCTCTCTCAAGAAGTAACCTGGCAAAAAATAAATGGTTAGGCAAAGGCAAGTGTTGGAGGATGTTTTCCCAATCTTTTAGAATCCCTTGGTAAGAGACACAGAGATAACTGGACACTTAGTTACCAGTGCACTATTCATTTTCCAAGCAGACATCAAAAGGTCCTCTTTTAATAGTGGAAACTGAGGGTTACACAGTAAGGTTCAGACTTCAGCAGGAATCCTTGTTGTCAAGTAAAAGTTTAACCTAGCAGAAGTAAATGAAACCCAGATGTCTTCACCTTTTTTTTTTTTTTAACCCTGGCATTCTAAGCATAAAAAAGGAAATAGAAAATAACACAGACCACTCTATTTTAATATTTTTAAGTAGCATAAATCATAATGGTTTATATACTACACTGTACAAATAATATACTGTTACTTTTGAAACAAAATGAACTTCTTATAGGGTTTTCTGAAATAGTTACTCCACACAGCTAAGAGCTTGACCCTTTAGCCATTGCTACAGCAGATGGAATACGAGCTTTGAGGTTCCAGTCTTCTAGTTGTGCCTGTTTCTGCTGCCACTGAGGGATGAGCCTCTCAGAGCCCCGTCGTGGCCCTGTCCATCTTCTGCGCCAGGAAACACCGGTTCCGCAGGTGGACGTGTGCCAATGAGTGCAGCTTCTGTGCTTTGCTTTCCATAAGCCTCCTCCCCCTTTAAGAGAACTTGCGCTTCTTCATGGCTTCTGCCTTGACCGCCAAGCTCTTGGCACAGATGGTCAGGACCACAATGAGAACGCCCACCACAAATGTCACCAGGGGCCAGAGGAAGCAATGCAGGAGGACAATCTCATCATGAGTACGATGCAGAAGCACGTCGTCTGGTCTGCAAGACAGCGGAGAATGAGAAAGAAAGAGCAGTCAAATGCCTTGAAAACTCTCTGCAACCTAAAGCCAAACTTGCTTTCCAGCCCGAAGGGAATAACCATTATTGAAAGTCAAGGCTGCACTCTGACTATACACACTGTAATTTTGTGCTTCAAACCCATTACAGAAAGTTTCGAGCTCTTGAGTCAAGTAATTGGTACAAATTTACACATTAATTATAATTTACATGTCACAAAATGTCAAAGGTATATCTCTTATGATTTTTCTTCACTCTAAGTTACTTAATGTATTCCACTTTCGCATTCATCCTCTAATGTCCACTTGTCAAGGGGCTTGAATCAGTCAAAAAATTACTGATGGGTGAGCATTCTCCAACAAATCCGAAAGAGAACTCAGCTCACAGGTGTGGCCCAAATGATCTTAATTCAGAAAAAAAAAAAGTCAGTTAAAGGCACTGCTTAAATTTAGACAAAAAGACACACAGCGTCACTCGCAGTGCAACTTGGCCTCACTATGTAAAGCAGAGGTTTTTATTAATAAGCAGACAATGGCTGAATGAATGCCTTCTTCCATGCTTCTGGGTGAAATTAGCCATCATTTTAAAACACTGACCACTTTCTTGATAAATCTCACAAAGTCCTAGCAATAGATTTCTATCTTATCAACGTAAGGGTCTATTTTTCAATTCCTGCATTGGTCTCATGTGCAGAAAGCGAAGATGAGATGTACTCCACAAGCCGTGATTGCTAATCTTTGGCCATTAGAGAGATCCTGGGAATTTAACTTTTTAATAAAAGAGGTTTACATTTTGTAAGATATTTCCATTTCATCCACAAGGTTTGCTCCGTTACACTAGAGGAGCTATGTTTCCTCCAGAAAAAGATGAAGATAATGCAGAATAATGAGTCCAACTGCCCTCAAGAACATCAAAGCCTTCAGAGCACAAGGGCAGTGCATCTAACACAGAAATGTGTTCCTGAAAATCATTCATCAGTCACAGCTCTCATAATTCAGAACCTATTTTCCCTGAAGATTGACAAAGGGTGTTGGGTATCTCTTTTTACTTAAAGTGGAGCTATCATGTGCCATTAACAGAAATAGTTTTACAGACTGGCTTTGAAATGTCAAAATCCTTGCAGTTTTTCCTTTGATGCAAAGTAAAATTTCAAATTTTGCACATAATGCAAGATTTTTATTAATATTTTATTTCATAGTATTTTAATTAAAATTTATATTAAGTAAATGCAGAGTCATTTTAACAATTAGGCAAAAAGCATCCCAGCTTTCAGAAGCTGTGAATTTTTTTAGAATTACTATATTAATTACTATATTAATATATACCATTGTATATATATTAATGTACATATTCTTTTTTTCCGTAGGCCCATTCGGGGTATGACATTGTCATTGCTGCTATTCTACAAATAGATGCTGCTGCTGAGGAAGAGGAGCCTGCCTTTGTTGCAACCTTATTATTCATGCAAAATTTCAAGAAACTTCATGCTTGGAGTCTAAAAACGTCAAGGCTGAGGTCTAAAAAGAATCAGGACACAGGACAGCCAGAATCATATTTAAGAGTCTGAAATCCCCATCCCAGCACTGCCATGAATCTTTTCCCAGGCACAGTGCTCATGGCTGTCAGAAACCTCTCCCCAAGTGTATGAGGGAAGGTAAAAGCTGTCTATCAGGATGCTCTTTCCTTCTTTCTCTGAAGCACTGTTATGCTCCTCCAGAATCTACTGATACAAAAATGAGTCTTAAATTCTTCATCAAATGGCTAAGGGTGCACAACAATGTGAATTGTACTTAGTACCACTGAAGTGTAAGTGGTTAAAATGGCTGGGCACAGTGGCTCATGCCTGTAATCCCAGCATTTTGGGAGGCAGAGGCGGGCAGATTGCCTGAGGTCAGGAGTTCAAGACCAGCCTGGCCAACAAGGCAAAACCCTCTCTCTGCAAAAAACTAGGTGCCTGTAGACCTAGTTACTTGGGAGGCTGAGGTAGGAGGATCTCTTGAGCCCAGGAGATCAACGCTGCAGTGCTCCATGATCAAGCCACTGTACTCCAGCTTGGTTGACAAAGTAAGACCCAGCCTCCAAAAAAAAATGGTTACAATGTTAAAAAAATAATAATAACAAAAGAAAAAGAAAAAGGATATTGGGTAAGGGACCTGGATTTTTTAAACACTATTTTAATAAATGTGCTTGTAATTTCCATAAGTAATATGTTTTGCAACTAATTTTCTAGTAAAATGTTTCAGCATGATCCTCTTTTGTATTCATACTCCAGCCACTCTTACTGACGTTGAATCCTTTACCACAATATTGTGCAATTGAGCCAGAAAAAATAGCCTAGATGACAGTGGTGCGAATCATACATATTTTCTGAAACACAGTTTGAAGCACATGTACCAAAAAAGAATGTGAGTATAAAAGAGGAGGAGAGAAAAATAATAACTAGCAAATGCTGAACCCAAATATTTGTTTTATTCAGAAACTTCTTGGCGTTCCACCTCCTACCAAAGCACTTGGAGTAAAACTTTAATATCTTAAATGACAAAATAACATCAGTCCCTCTGAGTTAGCCATACTGAATTTGTAATCACTTTGAAAGTGTTCTTTGATGTGGAAATGTTATATATAAATGTACACATTTCTTTAAAAATAATTCATGTCCATTTCCACTTCATACAGCTCTCAGATGCCTGATAGTCCCCTTCAACAGGAAAAACGTTTCTCTGCACAGTAATGCTCAAGCTCATCATTCGGTTTTTGATTTAGTGAGATTACCTCTAAATTGCTTCTTGTGTCCTAATTAAAGTCTAGCTAATTCAAACCGGACTTGTCATGTCTTGATTGAAGGCACTCCCCTGCCTCAGTTTCCTCCAATTTTATCAGGCATGCAGTTTTCAGATTATTCCACCAAAAATTATCTGCAAAGGGGTTTGGGCTTAGAATTCAATTTATCATAATTATATGGTAGGGAGTAAACTACAATTTCTTTTTAAATAATCACTGTTTGCCACATGTGGCAAACTGGATAAATGGCATGCTGAGATCTGATATAATAAAACCAGGATGGTTACAAGAATATACAGACAATAAGCAAAAAACAGGGTACTTACTCTATATCTAGGGACTTCAAAAAAGTAGGCAAGAGATTTTTCTTGGAGTATGCAGAAACACCAATGAAAAGCACTTTTAAGCCCTGAGTCAAGGTTATAAAAGAAGAGTAAATACTGTGGGAACCCACAGAAAAACTTCCGTAAGCATTGGCACCAGCCTGAGTCAAGGTTTGAAAATATGTTGTGATAAAAATGACAGTCAGCATTTATGATGTGCTTTCTACCCTCCAGGTGCTGTAGTAGGACATTCAGACTCATTTGATCCTTAAAATGACCCTCTGCTCAAGTAAGTTTAAATTTTCACTTTATAATGAAAGAAACTGAAGTCTTTAAGAAAGATTAGTATCCCCAGCATTACACAATTTAAAATAATGACATGATTTGAAACCCTGTCCGTTAAGATTTTTAAAATTGTACTATTAGCCGAACTGACCAAGCAGAAGAAACGATATCAGAGGTCAAAGATCAACTCAATGAAATAAAACAAGAAGGCAAGATTAGAGAAAAAAGGGTAAAAAGGAATGAACAAAGTGTCCAAGAAATGTGGGACTATGTGAAAAGACCTAATC